AAAAAAAAAAAAAAAAAAAAAAAAACAGATAAAAATCTTCGCTCAACTGAATGATTTTCATATAGTTGACAGTAAAATTTCATTAATTACTTGTACGATTGAAATATGTGATTGTACTTTTCTTATTTATTGACTTTTATTAGTCAGATATAATTAATAGATGAATATAATTAAATGATGTGTCTTTTAATTTCGTGTACTAACACCAATGAAACATTAAATTTTCTTTAACGATATGTAGTTAATTTATCATTTTCTCTGATAAGACACAGAAACTTACACGAGGCATGCCGATTGAAGCGGTATTGAAGTATTCATAGGATAAAAAATGTGGCAAATCTGTATCGTTGCTATTTATCAGTTCCAAAATTGGTGCGTACGTTTTATGGGCGAATATCTGAAAAATGTTGTAAATAACATTACTTGGTTGCTCTACTAAATTTTTACTCGTTAAAGAATAATAAAAGAGCAAGAAGAGAAAAATTGTGAAGAGAAATGTGCGGTTATATATAATAAGTTTCACTTCACTGGAACATCACGACTCTTACGATCTGTACCAACTGCAATTCCGGTATACATTCAACAGGTTTCGCTACGATACAAAGTATACTCAGCATGGATACAACCGCTTTCATCTTCAATGCTTCTCGATTCTTACTTCACGATCGACAAATCCCTAGAAACAATTTAATTTTAATAAAGATCTCCTTCGATAGTTTCGTTACAACATTCGTACGTACTTCGTGTCTTATCTCTCTGCCGTCAGGATATTATCTATGAAATCAAGAGGAATGTGTCGAAATGGACATTATGTTCAATGTCGTATCACTTACTTTTTAGTCTTTCAGTCTAACAATAGAACAACATGACAGCTGCACAATTATTAGACCGACAGGTGCTTTGAAGTGCCGTTTTTATACCGTTTTGTTTAGAGATAGTTATCTATCCTGGCGATACCTCTCTGTATTCACTGCAAAGTAATTGTGATGCTGAGACTTGTTCTAACTTTTCATGGTAACTGGCGTCGCGGTATTTGCTTCTTAGTGTGATGATAACAATCAGATAAAGTATCTGCCGATGGTGTCTCCGAGCGTTCGTGCATCAGATCTGTGCAAATTTAATCGGTAGCCTTCGCGTGAAATCGTCAATTTTATCATAGGTAAGAATCTTGCCGGGCTTTGTACAATTCCTGGCAAGCAGGTCTGATTTTTTCAGTTATAAAGCTTTGATCGAAAGATCACGGATCTTATAAAATGAAAGCGTTCTCTGTCTGTTAGGTTTGTTTTAAACTTGTGATACGCCATGGTATGAGTCTGGCTCATGGGAGACATCCAAGCTCAAAGTAAGAATTAATATATATTAATTGCTTGTCATTTTTTCTTACTTGTTTTATTTTGTTAACATCGTCATTTTGATTCTTTCCGTTTTATTGACTCTTTCTGGGTTAGCTCAAACTGAGTCGTTTTTAATTGTCTAGCTTTAATTTAATTTCTCTAGGCTTTCAAAGAATGTAAAAGAAGTTTAGCGAATTCTTGCTATATTGTACAATAAGTTTTTAAATCAAATCTTTAAGAGAAAATAAACATTTTCTTCGGAAAATTTGTCAGTGAAATTTCATATCAAAGCATGAATGAAGATTGCTGGTTACTGGGGGTGTTGATGATCTTTAAGGGATCATTTAAAATTTTGGGAGCCGGTTACTTTCTTTTCTTACTATGAATAGTAATAAAAATTTTCTTGAAAAATTCTCACCTCTCTCCAATTTAATTTTAGCGACACTAATATGAGAAAGTTGCAGCTCAAAGATATAATAATTTTAACTGACTCCATTTTTGGATTTAAAGATTATTCGTGATGGATTTTTCGAAACGGATTGTAACAATTGGTCTGGTAAAAAAGAGTTGTAAATATATTTAATAATCAATTAAAAGTTCTTCGTTTTTATTTTTGTTTTATTTGAGAAAAACTCAGGCACATCTTGTTTGGTTTACTAAATTTATTTGCTTTAGCGACAATTCTCGTCAGATTTAATAGGCAAACAACTCGAGATGATCACGCAGTCATATCTCAAATACATAAATTCATAATAAAATGTAATTAACGAGCAAATGTCTGAGTATCATTAAAGCAAGCAATTGCAGTAGCAAGACATCCGAAGGAAATATAGTGACTTCCTCTTCGAGAAATTAAACATCAGAGCTAAAAATAAATTATGAAGTGTTTTTTCAATAAGTCTGTTCAAGTAGAAATTCAGATAAATTTAATCGTTAGCAATTAATAACAAATCGATGAACGATATTTCGTAATTTAATCTCTATACTATGACTCACGTGTTGCAATCACATATCTTCAGATGAAAATACTTTTCAATTTGTGCTTAAAAAAATATTAGATTAATAAATTGTTACACTTACAATCAAGCATACACGGTGGATCGAAAAGGCATTCGCACACTTAGTCTTTCTGCAAAATGTTTGTGAAAACGAACTATACATTAAAAAAAAATCTGTTACTACATGCAAAAGCAACGTGCACAGTAGCAATTTTCAATAACGAGTTATACGATAATGATACAAGTAATGTAAAAATTCGAGAATCAAAAAGTTACGAGGGTTTTTAGTTCTACCATGTATTTAAACAAAATATAAATTATTTTTAATGATTTAAAAACAAGTGTTTTTTTCCTTATGTTTGGTATGTTTGGTATGGTGCGATGCCATTCGATAACATTCCAGTACTTATAAAAGGGTATATTTTGTAAATTTACAAAACTAAAAATCTACATACATAACAAAAATATCTATATATTATAATAAAATTTAAAAAAATTTAGTACTCCACCATTGAACACAAATGTGTGTCACTACTACAACTATTGGAAATTGCTACTGTGTACATTACTTTTGTAGAAAGTAGATTTCTCTAATAATGTATCATTTGTTTTACTAAAGATATCGCCCAAAGTAGGGGAGTACCAATACTTTTCTGACCCTCTGTAATTATTGCTCAATAATTGGCCAACAAAAGAAAAAACGCATTAAGCTTTCAATTATAATTAATTTTCTTCAAACGATAAAACCAACGTGAACTAAACAGGATGATAATCCTTCCGATCATTCCGTTTATTGTTAACCTGGTTTTTAGCTAGAAACGAGTTTTCTACGCGCCAGTCGAACGTACGTACATGGCGATAGCATAAATTGTGAACCTTATCATCGAGAAAATTTCAGGTTTGAAGATTATGTCCACGTGATAAAGCTCGCGACCACGTGCTACACATACACTTTGCACTATAATAACAGGCATATTAACGTGACGTGGTCGTACTTTAGATTAAACGAAGCATGTCTGATTGTGAGTTATCTCTACGAAGACTACGCCAAATAAAAAGAAAAAAAAAAGAAATATTAATCTTGTCTAATTCGATCGGCAAGATAGTATTAGTACGTTTATTTATATGACGCCGTCACATATATATTTTGTATCTTGCATTATCATTGATCACTTTTGAATCAAATTTCGAAGCTGAATCTTGCACAATCAAGTCGATTTGTTTCTTCTTCTTTCTTGCCGAATATTACACAGATTCGTACTTACCGCGAGCAATTTAACGATCGTATCGTGAATTGCTGGTCGAATAATTGTTGAGATAATACATTTCATTGTGCCTGTGTGTTTGCCATTAGCAAGTAAGCTGAAGGCTGAACATTTAAATACCGAGGATGTATAACTTAACGTTTGATAAAGTTTAACTTTCTTACATTTCGTACATAATGTTTGCAACGTTGCACTAGAAATCTATTCTGTCTAAAGCTATTCGTTTCCAAATCCACGGCCTTTGTCAGCTTCTACTTTGATCAAAGGTAAGACGATAATTGTTTCAATGCGCATTATTATTGAAATTACTAGATTATTTCGCTTGTACAAATGTGTTAAATTTTTATCTTCCTATGTTAGATTGTCATTGTTTTATTGTCGATACTAGTAACTGAATTCTGTTAATTATATTTATATTTGTATGTTTTTTTTTTTTTTTATGCTAGTAAGACACTGCATCGATAAGGATTTCAAAAGTACGATTTCTTTCTTCCTTTCGTTTGTAAACGTACTATTTTTGTTCGGGCATAACAATTTTTTATGTACAGTAACAAGCATTTTCTACCGATAACGATAATGCACAACAAGTGAGAACAAAGAGAACTTACAATGCGTGCAAATGAATTATTCGTGAAACACTTGATGGTGTAAAGACTTTTTTTTTCGCGAAATCGGAACATAATTTCTGCTTGCGAATGTAATGCGTTCACATAAATCCTTAAATAACTGCTACAGAAATAATATAAGTAATAATTAAATTTTCCGCTTGATTTGCATTAATACTACACACGCTATAAGGAATCATTTAACTATTTGTAATTGCACGCGACGAAAACCAAGAAGGTGACTCCGTCGTAGAAAATTAATGATTTTTTGATCGTGCATCAAATGTCTGTCACACCACTATAATGTATTAGTGTATTTCTTATTCATTATTCCTCCACAGATTTATGTAATTGCAAGTTCATATCAGCAAAAATGCAATTACAAATTCGCATCAGCAGATTGATTATTTTTTCGTATCATTATCGAACGATCTCTTTCGTGAATATCGTCTCTACGGATCTACAAACCATACGGGTGTAAAAATTTACAATCGCATCGTGATTGTACGATGTTGCAATCTTTTTCAAAACTCCGAAAAAAAATCATACAGAGTAACGAAATTTTGATGAAAAGATATTTTACACGATAATTATTTTATACAGATACAAAATATTTTAATGGACCAACGAGATGATATATATTTTGGACAATAGTTCGTTCAGTCGTAATGAAATCTTAATTCTAAGAACATTAAACTGATAACATAGCACTCGCTACCTTCTTTATACGTAAAGCATTAGTATATTAGTATTTTCATTATGAATGATAGGCTGCATGTGCATGCTATATGCTGAAATTTAATCAATTAGAAACAATTAATCATATTATCAAATGTAGTCAATATGATCATTATAATATTATATATTAATTATTATAAATTTGATAATTATTATACTTTTGAAAAGATAATATTCTAATATTCGTTATATTCAATACAACGCGTACAAGAATAATTATTATTTCGTAAAAAAATTGAAATTGTAATTTCAGCGAATGATAATTCTGTTCGCGAAGATAATGATTGTCATAAAGTTATTTTCTTAAGGACTGTTACGTGTCTTGTAACTTGTTATTTACAATTATTCTTGAACATTTATATCGTAATATACCCACCACGGTAATGCATATAATGTTACGTGAATAAATCAATTAAAACGAATCATGCCTGTAAAAATTCATTTCCAAGAATAACTTATCCGCCGTGTCATTTACGCGCGTAAAATTGTCTTGTATGAATGCTCTTGTCTTGTAAGAATCTTGTTTTGAACAAAATTTTACAGGTTTCATTTCTTTTATTTTTCGTACGTTCATTCGTACATCAAATAATGCATAAATAAGTTACTCTTATCTTTGAAGAATTAAACGAAGCATGAGATAAGATTGAAATATTCCCTCGCCGGTGAAATGAACAAGTTATTACAGTAAATCAATTACATAAACAAAATGTGAAAACGCAAATATTATCCACATATGAAAACGATTTAGCTCCATTATTTATACAGATGTCACACTATCTGATATAAAAGTTGAATAAATATCATTTGATAATAAAAAAGAAAAAAAAAAAATTCAAGTCGTTCGTCTTGATGCATCGTTCTTTTATTAAAGTGAATTTTTGAATAATACTAAATTTAACAAAATATCAACGATATATTTTTGGATGGATGGACAAAGAAATACAAGCCAGAATTATAATTGACTGTAATTAATTAATATAGAACATAATTCTGCAGAATTATGATGGAATATAGTTTTGGAGAAAAGCACTTTATACAATATTTAAACTTGAAGTGCAATGTAAAATCAGATAACATGTGTCTCATGTAAATATACATATGTACATCATCTTTATGAAAATGATCGAAATTTTGCTTGTACCATTTTGCTTGATCTAGCAAACAGGTAATATACATGTGTGATGATTAAATGAAAACAAACTAAGGAAGTGGGCAAGAGGAATGACCCAACAGGAAATTTCATTTTCCTATGCGTGTTACTTTATATCGTGACGTGATGATCCTGTTAATTCCCACGATATCTGTTTACGTTTCTTATTATAAAAAAAAAAAAATTCTAATATGGTTTTCCTTATCATCCGGCGTGTAACCACATAATGAAAGCCTACAATACAATACATTCAGCATGAACATGGAAACGGGGACTTCCATTTCATACAATTACATGTGCATATACGGTATCGAATGGCATCGAAATCTAATTGAGAAATGAATTCCAGAGAAAAATATGTCCCTTTGACGTGCGTTGTTCTCCTTTTTAAAATCATTTGCGCGTAGGCAAACATGTCCAGTGTTTCGCTAACTGGTATCATAATCGGTACATCACTATTATTAATTGCTTGTCACATCGTGCCGTTACGATAAGTATTTAAACAGTGCAGACATAAGTGTACTTCAGTTCATCTCTGAACAGGTATAAAAAAATTCTAAAACGATAATATTGGAAATAGCACGAAACTGGAGAAATATTGCGCGTCCGACATTCTCTCCTTCTAAATTTCCTTTGATATAAACAATATTAAAAATAAATATGTATTATTATTATTAATTCCAATAATATATATTATTATTTTATATTATAATTTCATTAATATTATTAATATTTTATTAATATTTATTAATATTTATTATATTTATTATATAATTTTATTAATATTTATTAATAAGTAATATTATAATATTTTATTAATATTTATTAATATTTATTATATTTATTATATAATTTTATTAATAAGTAATATAATATTTTATTAATATTTATTAATATTTATTATATCTATTATATAATTTTATTAATAAGTAATATTATAATATTTTATTAATATTTATTAATACTTATTATATAATTTTTATTAATATTATTAATATTTATTAATATTACCTATATATATATATATATATATGTACACTAAAAATCATTATCGATAAAAAATATTACTACAATTGCTCTTCATGCAAAAAACGTCACGTTAAGATATTTTATCATTGTTACAAGATCTATGTAAGATACTGATTTCTGTTAGATCTCATTATCAGGATAGACATTTGAAAATTTATATTCTGTAAACGCAAAAGAAAGTTATATATCATTCTATCCGTTGATGCTTTATAATCATTATAGCCATTTACTCTTTAACTTATGGCTGACCTATTTGACATCGTCAAATGCAACTTACACCTTGAAAATTCTTGTCGATAACTGTGGGACACTGATCTTGATTTAAAAAACGTGAAAAACATTTATCAAATGTCATTATCGTTTATTCAAATTAAACGATCATACTTATAATAATTCATGGAAGATTTGTATTGATTTCAGATTGAACATGACCAATATGATTTCGTTCAACAGTCGCAAAAGTTTCTCTTCGATGTATATGATTTTGGCTTTGGTTGCAATAATCGGCGTCACAGCTATTCAAGCAGAGATCAAACTAGTGAATGTGGTAAGGAGCAATGTGACATTATTTGTGCTTGACGCACGTTTCCCAGTGACAAGACATTCTTGAAAATTGAGGCAACATTCGTTCGAAATTTTTGAGAGTGTCGATCGTGACGAAAATAGAACCAGTTAAAAAGAAAAATTTAAATCTACAGACTTTTATAATTCCAGATATTCCGACATGGCGATAGAACACCCGACGCCATTGACGATGAGAAATATCCGAACGACCCTTACTTGAATTGTTCTTATTATCCAATGGGTCGTGGCCAATTGACCAACGTACGTATTTATCGACTTTTCATTCGTTTCTGAACGAACTCTTGTAAGCAGTATCATTTTTTTCTTTTCTTTTTTGTAGTTGATAAAACGTTCAGTGATGAAACATACGATAAAGCATTACATTTCTTTTTAGTCGGGTAAAATGCGAGAATACACACTGGGACGATTCTTGAGGGAGAGGTATGGAGACTTCTTGGGAGAGCTCTATGTACCTGAAGAAATCTCAGCTCTTAGCTCGGATTACGACAGAACGAAAATGTCTTTGCAATTAGTTCTCGCTGGACTTTTCCCGCCGAATGATACTATAGAGCGTTGGAATCAGAATCTGAATTGGCAGCCAATCCCCGCGAAATACCTGCGACGATACGAAGACAACCTCTTTCTACCGGAGGATTGCCTTTTGTAAGTATAAACTACAAAATGGATAGACTGCTGGTATTCGAAATATCTAGAAACCGCATATAACATGTAAAAACAATGAAATATAAATTTATATGAAATAATGATACAAGTGTTACAGTATTTAATTCCATTTAGAAATACAAATTTGCATGAAAATCTGATTATAAGTTACAACACGTATTAATGTCATTTAATAAATAATAATCAAAGTCTATGATTAACTTGACGATGATAATTAATAATTTTTCGCTTTCAGATTTTCAGTTGAATACAACAGAGTGTTGCAATCGCCGGAAGGGAAACAAGAACTGGAAAATTATAGCGGATTTATGAAACAATTGACAGAGTGGACTGGGAAAAACATATCCACAGCATGGGATATGTATTACCTGTACCACACGCTAATGGCCGAATCCTCTTATGGTTTTGTTTTGCCAAATTGGACACACGGTATATTCCCATACGGAGAATTATGGAACGCAACAGTGTTTTCATACGAAATCGCCAATTCGACTCCTCTGTTGAGAAGACTATATGGAGGTAATGTAATAAATGTATAATAATTTCCATTCACGTAAAATTATTATGTCTTCTGTCATAAATCTTAGCAACGTAAATCAATGACAATATAATCTAATTTTAATTCCACGCATTTCGTTTTTATCGAGTTTATTTTGTTCTTGTTATTCTATCGTATAACATTACGATTTTCCCAAATTTAAAATGTTTAGTAAAAATTACACTTCCCGGTTGCTTTACATTTTTTTCAATCTCAAAATTTGTTCATCTTGTCAACGCCAGGCCCGTTTATCCGAATCATTACAAGGTATATGTTGAATCATATAAACGGCGTGAAAGAAGATCAAGGAGAAAAAATGAACTTATTCAGTGGACACGAAAGCAACGTCGCCGCCGTTTTATTCGCTCTCGGATTGTATTATCCGCACGTTCCTGAATATTCAAGCTCAGTTATATTGGAACTTCATCAGATCGATAACAGTTGGTACGTGAAGGTACGTAAGACGAGAGATGAATTGCATTCGCTGTGAAAAAGTTTTGTCAATGCTTCGTATAAATTATTTCCTAAAAATTTTGTTTCTCTTCTTCATGATCATCAGGTGGTTTACTACGTGGGCATTCCATCCGAAGGAAATGAACTCCAACTACCTAACTGTGATATACTCTGCCCTCTCGACAAGTTCTTGCAATTAATCGAAGATGTGACGCCATCGAATGAGGAAATGATTTGTGATAAAGGCCTGTCGGATGCATTTGTAGATAAGAAGACAATCGAAGAATTAGATCTATTGAAATACAATCTGATAAAGACTGCAGGAGTCATTGAAAGTAAATAATGGAGCAAAATGGAACTGTTAAACTGTGAATTACATTCCCCTTGATACCAAAGAAAATGGAGAATTTAGAATTTATTTAGGTTTTAATTCATAGATTAACGGAAAGATTGGGCACGTATAATTTATGTATTTTTAATTATAATATATAAGATTTTATGTGTATGTGTACATACATGTGGAAGATCATCGGTATTTTCATAATTTAATTATTTATATTACTAGAAGAAATGAGAATTTAAATTTATTTAAATATTGAATGATATTTATACGTATTATATAATTATTTAATATTTAATTCATTAAAGCACTTGTCGCGTGATTAATTTAATAGGATATTTATTCTTTTTGTCAAAGCACCACCTATAATACTATAATAGATTATTTATTTTGTCAAGTATCATCAGATATATTCACAGTGAAAATACATTGTTTTATTTTGGATACATATTTATTAAACGTATCAATTCATCTAAAATGAATTATGTCGAAAGTATTTTCTTCTCCTATTTAGATCACGCTGAATTTTTCCCGTACATTACGACAACCAATGACGTTATTGTAATTCTGGTCACTGATAATGTTACTGTAGCGTTATTCGATTTTCAGCAATTAGTAAATATCAAAAAATGAATTATAAAAAATTTAGATATAGAGTAATTCATATTAATATTCGAATACTATAATATTCGGCCACTACATTGAAATTGTTATAATTTTGTAAAAAAAAAATCGTACAATAATGAACAGACTCATTTTAGAGCTTCAAATCTTTACTTTCAGAATGCATTCTATGATCCTCCTGGCTCTCCTGAAGAAACTTTTCTTTTCAAAAATGCTAAATTGTAAGGTGCATGAAAAGCATTAAAAAATTTCCTTCGCGACTGAATGGTTTTGAAGATTAAAACGACCTCTGAAAGTTTAATGTATGATTTCCTTTCATCAATTTATTGAACTGTGAATATCAGGCGAAAACGATTTCTTGAATCTTTCTGTCATCCAAGTTCAAGGATCAATAAAATGGCGAAAAGAAAAATCATACATTAAGATTTTGGAAGTCGTAAAAGGGAGGTTTCGATCTTCAAATCCATTGTAGATTCAATAATGAAACAAATTTTTCAATGTTTTACATACTATGACAATTTATGGTATTTTCATTTTTGAAGAAAAATGTTTTTATTTATCTATCCGTATATGTCTTTATTTATCCATGTTAGTATAAAATGAATGATATATTATAAAAATAGAAATTTCAAATTCTGAAATTTATTACTATACTTCTAATTTATTACTATTTCTTTTTCAAAATCATAACAATTTCAATATTCCGTGGCCGAATATTAATGCGAGTCTCTATAATGTAATATTATATTATAATATTATTATTGTATAATCTAATAATAATATTACAATATAATCGTTTATATTCATTTATTCACATATTCAGAATTCTTCTATCTTATACAGTCACTGATACTTACTTTAGACGAAGCAAAAAAGATTTATGCGTCTAGATCCATATATATGATGAAGCTTCCACCTACTTCAATTTTCTTTGTTCCCGGTACTAACAGCTCGAAACAATTTGTCCAGTTTAGTCTTCATCAACATTCGTACGTATTAATGGGTTTTTTTTTTTTTCTTTTCGTTTCTTTGGTTGAAACTGTACTTACGTATCTCAAGACCTTGACACTGAGATTACTGTAACAGTATTTATCTATCGGAGAGTGTTCTGTAGAAAACACACAAGCTTAGAAAATCCATCGCGTAGGTTGTTTTAAACAGCTCTTTCAACTTAACAGAATAGATGAGTAAGTAGAAAGTTTAAAACTCTGAAATCGATAAACCTTGCACTTTTAATTCTTTCAATAACACTGTGAACGAAGAGATTTCTCTGTGATTTGCAAAATTTATAACACAAAATGCATATTCAAGGAATAATTGAACTTGAAAGTGGGAGGAAAAAGTTTTACATTACTAGAAAACAAGATGGAAAATTGTCTCGACTGGTGTTCCTTTGGAAACTAATTTCTTTTTCATATATACCGTGCTAACAATGCTACGACGAAGTTTTTCGAAATCATTCTTCGCCGCGACTGGTTGACAAATGACATTTTCAACGGATAACAAAGCTTTGAATTTACATTTGAATTTAAATTTAAAGTGATAAAGTTTTTAAGAATTCTACAACATAATACTGATACTACGCATACGTGATCACGATAACTCCTAAGAAGTAATTGTGTTTCAAATATATGATGTGATTGTGTTTCATTATTATATTTGTAATATTGAGCAGTCAGCTTCAGCTGAGAAATTTCAACTCAGAAACATAAAAGTATGTCTACGTATCTCGAGTATATTAGTTATACTAAAAGTTAGATATTTTTAATAAATTTTAATTTATACTTTTACTAACTAAAATACATATTTTAATGTTTTCACATGACACCTTAAGTGTCGTAAGAATAATAATGGCTAAAACACCATGATGTCCAAGTATTGATAAGGTAAATGCTTTAGAACTATAAATCATCGAAATTTAAATGTGCAATGATAACAGTGTTGCAGAACCATTGCAGTGTCTTCTATTCTATTGACGTGTTGTATACATAAAACATTAGTTGAAAAAAAAAGAAGGAAAACACGTGGACAAAAATGAGGAGAAACGTACAATATTTTTATGTATTCATGTAATTTCTTTTAATTGAATTCTCTGATTGAGTTTCGAATAAAATATTCGTCTATATATTTCTTCATGACCATGAGAAAAGAACTTAGTCGATAATATTTATTTTATCAATATATTATCTTCAGTGATAAGAGCATTATCCATTCTGCATTCAAACATGCTGGTCGAAGGTTTTCAACTTACTACATTATCAGTTCCCTTTCACTCCTATCTATTATTTGGTTTATAGAAATTTCGTTGTACGAAAGAGGTAGTTTAGTATCGATGTTGACCGGGAAATTTAACAAATTTGCCTGTTAGGTGTACATCGGGTAATATATATTTCAGCTAGTTTCAGAAACATGGGTGTCGCTTGGATTTTTAGGATCATGGTTTGCATCCTTTATTGTCAAATGTCTTTTGCCGAGGTAAAACTCGTACAAACAGTATTCAGACATGGAAACAGGATGCCATCGGGGATCAATTACTATCCGAACGATCCTTACGTTAACTGCACCTACGAACCAGCAGGGCCAGGAGGTTTAACTAACGTATGTCATTCTTTCTGTTAATTATTATTGAATTATAATGTATAATTTGCACGTATTAAAATACTTGAGTTTCTTTAAATTTTGCACGATAGAAAAGGAAAATTCAGTGAACGTCTAGACTTTCTAGAAGAAATTTTCCAGGCTTCGGAAAAGTGTAAAAAAAATTTTGTATCACCCAACGAAGTCAAGTCATGTTTTTAATAGATTTTCCAGATCGTGAAAGTTTCAATTATAAAAGGTCTTTAATAGATCATAACGCAGTTTCGATTATTATTTACGAAGAGTTAAATTTCAATGACACAGATGAATTGAAAAGAATATATTAATTAATATTAAAAAAATAATAATAATAATTAGGTCGGTAAACTGGCTTTATATAAACTCGGCCAATATTTCCGCGAAAGATACAACCAATTCTTAGGAGAGATTTACATGTCGAAAGATGTTTGGTTCCGCGCCGACGAAGTAGAAAGAGTAATCATGAGCGGACAACTCGTGGCAGCTGGACTATACCCGCCAAACAAAAAGCAAAGGTTCTAATTAAATTAAATTTCAATTGCTGGACAAGTAATAAATACTGAAATCTGACTTGTATAATAAACTTTACAGATGGGAACCTGATTTAAATTGGCAACCCATACCAATATGGACGTTGCCAGCATCGATCGACTGCCTCTATAATGGCCAATTTTCTGCGAATTTTCGTGCATGGAGAAACGACGTGGAGAGAACAGATGCGGCACTAATTGAATTTGAAAAACAGCATACAGACGTTTACAGATATCTGTCGAAACACACAGGTGGTAATATTACACAATCCAGAACGATCAATTTGCGTCAGTACCTGTTTGCACAGGTAAATAATGTCTCATTTTCCTAGCGAAGGTTACAGACGTGGATAATTAACGATACTGACGATGTTATTCTTGGTGTTTGAAATTCTTTTAGAAAGATATTGGTTTGAAATTACCAAAGTGGACAGAATCTGTCTTTCCTCACGGGAAGCTAGATAAATTAGCTGTACATGATATTTACATTCGGACTCGTACTCCGCAAATGAAGCAATTACTAGCTGGTAAATCTCACAATTTTCTTTTTTTCCTCATTATCATCTATTTCTCTTATTTCCTCTTGTCGAAAGAAAATTTCGAAGAAAAAAAAGAAGAAGAAGAATGTAACTCTGATGGAGAGTTTTACTTGACAGGAATGTGGATTCGCGAATGGTTGAGGCATATTGATGATCATTTGAATAAGAACGATACGCGAAAAGCGTTTATGTACGCGTCGCACGACCTAAATATCGCTTATATACTCGTAGCATTGGATAATTTTGACGACGAGATTCCTCACTATGGTAGTTGCCTGATGTTCGAATTACATGAAGAGGACAACGAATATTACGTACAGGTGCAAATTATCTTCCTATTAAATATTTCCCTAATAACATCAATTTTGAAACTGAAAGTTAAAGATAGAACTTAATGTAAGAATGCACGTTATACGAGTGAGATTTCTTAATGTCTGCAGAGGGTTTGTTCAGGATTTCTGCACATAATATTTTTCTTGTTATCCACAGGTGCTTTATAGAAACAACGGAAATGTTCGTACACTCAAGTTTCCTAATTGCGATGGCAAAATGTGTCCATTGGAGGAATTCAAAAAATTTGTAACACCCGTGACACCGACAAACCCGAAAGCAATATGTGGATAGATATGAAAAAAGTAAAAAAAAAAAAAAAAAAAAAAAAAAAAAAGCAGTAATAAACCAATCCAAATAGATTACTGAGAAGACTTCTTATAATACTAATCTGCTGTCTATTTGATTTGGAATGAAATGACTTGGATTTGGATTTTTTTCTGACTTTCTAAGGAACGAGAAGATTATGATAAATCCTTCAGAAGTATCAGCAAATCGTAATCTTCGTTTTGCAAGATCATACAGCTACGATAACAGAGATCAGTGTTATAAGTAATATGATAAAAGCCACAGAAATTATAATTAGATCTTATACGATTTAATTAACATTTAATTTTGTTTAATCCTCAGTTAATGCTATCTAATCTTGCTTTCATGAAGTTATTTTTAACATATTCTCGTACTCTTAATCGAGTTGTAGCATGTTTCTAATATTTTCAAATGAATATTTATATCGATCATTTGTAAATCATTTAAATAAAATTATGTAATTATGTAACACGTTACACGAACAATTATTTTGACTTGAACATTCGTATATATATAAATATATCAATAGATAACATTTCAGATCGTTAACAAAAACAATACTTGTTTCATTCGAAAATTTAATAGACAAATCATCGAGATCACTGGATAATTAGAACTATTTAATAACTATTAAATAGCATTTGTTATCACGATATGTTTATTTTTTATTTTAGAAATAACATTCACTTTAAAATAGCGTCGTATTGAAAAGATTATACGTGATTCCCCGCAATAACTTCCTATTTTTTAGAACAATTATCCCACAGTAATGCTAATAATTGACGACAAATATTACAAAAAAAGAGGAATTGTATTCAGTTGGTTTTGATCGATAACGTTAATCCATTATGTCAAGCCAATCATATTTTGATCAATCATCATCAATCACATTTGATTTTAACAAATTAATTAATTTGATTAATTTCAATAAACCTATGTGTAGTTCCATAGATTAATTATGCTTCATAAACAAAGTACGGAACCATAATTTGCAATTTCTTTTTATTTAACTTTAACTATTAATTTAAGAAAGAAAACACTTTCGTCGAAGTATTTAGAAAATCTTATTTTTTTTTTTTTTTAACAAACAATAAAAATTTTAAACCGTGCTAACAAGCAAAATGAAACATTCTATAATTACATAATTAATAATAATTATGTGAATGTACGTATGGAATTGTATTGCAATAAAATACGCAAAATGTTGCGAAGAGTAAAAACTAAAAAAACTGAAAAAAGAATGACAGAGAAAATCCCCTCAACGAACGGGTCAGATTAGTTAATTGAGCTTCTCAATATATAATGAAGATAAAAACTGACTATATATCGTCGTATTTTCCTCTTGAAATCCCCAATCTGTAATCGATGAAACGTGACGCGCATTATCTTCGTTTATCGTATACACAAAGTCGATCACGTCTGTGATTTTTTTTTTTTTTCCTCGTCTCATTAAAATCAATCGCGTCGAATCATATTCCAGTATTCAGCAGTCGAGTTTGACAGAAGACTGATCTCTCTGAACTTTACAAATGCGAATTATAAATTAAATATATATATCTCGTTTCTTGTCAAAATCGATTCATTTATTTATTAAAAAAAAAAAAAAAAAAATGAGTGAACTACCAAAATATTCGTTGAAAGAAGTGGCAAAACAGGATGGAAAAGAAGAAGCAAGAGTCTGGATCGTGATTCACGATATGGTGTACGACGTGACCAATTACAGGCACGAGGTAGGCCAAAGAAAGTGTTGTGAATCGAATAAAGTATTTTTTCAAGTAAATCGTAAATTAATAAATTTGGAAATAACCAAGTATTCGATCATTGCAGCGAACTGGAAATGATAAAGAACGAGAAGATGGGAGATGAAAATCTTCCATTATTCCACAAAACTAGCGAACATTCTAACGTAAAAAAATGTTAAAATTAAAATTAAAATTAATTTAATTAAAATTAAAATTAATTCCAGCATCCTGGCGGAGCAGAGTTAGTGGACGAGTATGCAGGACAAGATGCGACACGCGGATTCGATGAATTTGGACATTCCTCAGACGCAAAACGTATGTTGAAGAAGTTCCTTATTGGTGAATTAGCGGAGGTAAAAATTTACATCATGTTCGCTTTACTTCTTCATGTAACTAATTACAATTTGTCGAGATATTCACTTTATATTGTAGGAAGATAAAATAAGCAATAGAAGAAAAAATAATGGAATCTCTATTGAAATGGAAGCGAAGAATGGGCGGAGAAGGTATGATATTTTTTTTTTTTTATGATAAGTTGTAATTGGATATTGAAATATCTTTTGTATATAAATGTCGACAATAATGCAGCGTTTTATTTGCAGATTTTTATCAATATTATGTTTCAAGTGTGCAACTTGACACCCGGGGAAATAGTTGGATAAATTCATCGACGATCGAATTCACGTTAATTTATTTTATATTATCTTTCATACCGATGTACATGTACAGCTAATTACAAACTGCTATGCGAATAGGAATTAATTACTTTTTAGTATCACGTACAAGTTTATCAAAAGAAATCGCCTCTTCTATCCGATATATGGAACTCGAAAGAATTGAAAGTACGTAACTCGCGAGACGTTGGCAGCATTCTAAATGTACACGAATAAAAAAACACGAATCACTCAACGAATGAATGTTCCTTTGTTCCTAAAATTGTCTTACGGTATTGTTCGTTTCTTTTATCTCGTTCTTACATTATAATATATTATAAACGACACCAGAGAAGAAGAAATGAAAAGGATAAAATCAGGCATCGTCTATAGAACGAATTAAATCTAATAATCTGAATATCTCTCTGATAAATTAATTAGCATCGAATAACGGAACAGACTGTCACATTGATGATTGATGGTTATTCTTTCTTTAGGAGAAGACAACAGCTCGTTATCAAGAATGTGATACCAAAGTGAATGAGTATGTAAAAATCGAAATGCCTCTTTCTCGATCATCTATTGTAAATTGTAAACCGTACAAGACGATGAGATTACCAACGTTTATATCCAACCGCCCATTATCTGGCCAGTTGCCTTCGATTTCCCTCTTAATTTTGTCGTTGCTACAGGGACGTTGTCTTCCTGCGGCGCGGATTTCGGCGGATCTTTGCTCGACTGATTCTTCTCTTCTTCCTCTTTTTTCTTCTTCTCTTCATCTTCTTTCTTCTTCCTCTCTTCCTCTTCCTTCTTCTTCTTCTCTTCCTCTTCTTTCTTCTTCTTTTCCTCGTCGTCGGTGCTCTTCGTCTTGTCCTCTTGCTGCTCCGACGACGGTTTCGCATCCAAGGGTTTCTTCGCGAGGGTAGCTTTACCCTGAGGTGACCTCTCGGCGTTGTCCTCCCTCGGGTCCTCCGGAATCGGCGACGGTGCCCTCACTTCCGTTCCACCTGCTTTCTCACCAGCTTTGTCCACGCTACCGCTGCTCATAGATTTCAACAGGCTCTTCTTCAACGTCGGGCGGCTGCTCGGCTCGCCTGCGATTCGTACGGACTTCTGCGATCCCTCTCCTTCATTCTTAACTTCTACGGAGAGAACAGAAAGTGAAACGAGAGCACAATTGATGACTGGAATTATCTGAATGGTCGGAATAAAGGAATCATTGAGACGAACTAGTTCACTAGGAAATTTTATGGCTTTACACAGGGATAACTCAATTATAGTCTTACAGATTAGCCATTCTGTAGGTTTTAGAAGAGATTTTCATTATCTCCCTCTAAAGCTTTCTATCCCAATTTAAAAGAAGCTCTTTTGTCCAAAGGAAAAATAGAAGAAATATCGAGATGTCTGAAACATTATACTTTTTCACAATCTTTGGATATAATTTACCAATTAATTTTATAATTAAAACAATAAACTGACTTTACAAGGCATCTGAGAGCCAAGAACACATTTAAAAGAAGAGGATAAAAAACGAGATATGCTCACCACCATCCTCTGCCTTAACGGGTCTTGACCGACCCATCATGAATTTCGCGTAGGCGATCCTCGTGGTCGGCGTCACTTCCGACAAGTTAGGATTGTAATCGACTAGACGATTAGGATCCAGCGAGGCCAAGTCCGAATTCGGGCTATGTTGCAAATGTCTACGTATACTGCGCCGTGTTTGTTTCATCGTGGCCTCGGTCGTGCTGCCAATCGGATCCTTGCTAGTCGTGTTCTGCCGGACCATAGCGTTCCAGTCTTTCTTCTTACTTCCGCTACTCTTGCGGCCGATTGCCTTTGCAATTTGACTGAACACGTCCTTAGGTTCTTTCTCACTCTGGATCACAGCGTTCACGATACCCTCCACTATACCGATTTGGAAGTCCTTTTGGAGCCGACGTTCCATCACGCGTCCCTTCTTACCGGAAACTAATGGGCAAAATTTTGTTACATGAGACTTCAGTCAAATTAATTCCGGATTCTTAATCAACTGGATTATCAGTCGATTGATCATTAGGAAAGAAATGCTCGATCGACGCGTTTCTATTCAGATAACATGAGACGATAAGTTAAAAATACATTGATCAGAGTTCAAGCGTTTGTCGTGAAATATTCTCTTTGGAAATGGAAACACATAGTATCATTGGCACAGTGACGAACTATAATCGCGCTTTACCATTGTAATTTATAATGAAAATTCTTATCTTTAAATATCACGTAGACACATAATTCTACTTGATATTATATGATTTGGACTTGAATTGTGACAATGAAATAACGAAACAGGGCATGAACGCTTGGAACTTACGCGCAGCGTCTTGTTTGTCGAGCGCCGGCGTTCTCATCCCATTCTGTCGGAGGATATCAATCAATTCGTATCGCAGCGTGGAAATGTCCTGCCTGATTTCCATAACGTCGTCCTCGGTGATACCGAACTCGTCTCGTTTCCTTTGCTCCGCGGTCACGTAACGTCTGATGAGCAATCGCATCACCGTGTCGTGTCTCGCCAGAGCCTTTTCCCTTGACTTTTTCTGACAGTCGTTGTTAAATATTAGTATTTTTTTCTTTCATTTCAGTAGCATAGAAACGCGAAGAAATTTAATATCATAAACTCTGATATTGTCCCTGACTCTAACAGCAAGTTTAATTGCATTTAAGAATCCCTATCGAGTCCTAGTACCTAGATCTCGATCTACTTCAGAAGTAGTTATATGACGAAAGTACGTACAATCAAAGATCTGGTTTGCCGCTCGTTCTTCCCGCACTTGATGATCTTCTCGAACGTTTTGCCAGTTGGAACCATATTGAATGGTGGAGGCACTGTATCTCCGTCTTCGAAGTAACTCATCCACAAGTGACTCCTGGCGAATTTCCACTCGGTGTCGGCTCTTTCCTGTGAATTCAACCCTTTGCACTCCAAATTGTTTTTCAATTATTATTTTTTTTTTTTTTTTTTTTGGTAATTTAAGAATATTGAATGTGACTCGACATAAGAGCCCCTGTGATGTCGAGTCACACTCGACGAAGGAGTTAAGAAAATAATGAAAATGTCCTTGTCATACCGAGATGATTTGATAGGAATTAGACATCATGGCAATGAGCATGTTCAATAGCACGATGACGTTTATCACGGAGTAAGAGCCGAACATGAGGAGAGCCCAGAATCTGGTGAAGCTCTTTATTCCAGTTAGATCGAACGACATCAAGTCTATCATGCCGAAACTGGCCCAGAAAAGCGATTGTGACGTCTCGAACAAGCTGAAAGTGATCGTTAATTGAATCGAATCTATCGCATTGTTAATTTCAAAAAAAAAAAAAAAAAAAAAAATGTACAAGTTTAGTCAGTTTTTGAACAATTCTTTTTTTCTCAAGTTTCAATCTTTCGTCGCAGGACAACACTTTTCCTACTTGGTTTTACATACTTGGCGAAACGTCTCCAAATCGAGCAAGCTTTCTCCTGATTGTCAAAATCAGGCAGATCTGGAAAGTCCTTCATGTGATAACACTTTTGCTTCTCCAAATCCGCATAGTACCACATTAGCT